AATATATATATATATATATATATTCTTTCAATATTTATCTACTTGAAGTTGCTTATATAGGTGATTTTACAACTTCACAAATATTTTTACAGGTGTACAATTTGTGGTCAACTGCGCACTAGAAAAACTCCTGAAATACAATTAACCACAGCAAGAAGAAACAATATCTTACATTAACAATAATGAGTTATTTTCTAAAAGTTCAAAGTAAAAATACACAATTCTTTAGTGAAAGAATTATGAAAAATAAGCGATGTAAAAATTTGATAAATGCTTAGTAAATTAATCGAAACATTTAAGGAAGTACAAATCTCGTTCAAATTTGAATAACATTGCTTGTTTGCAATTTTAAAGTTAGCTGGAGAAAAAACTAAATCAATAGAAAATAATGAATTACAGAAATAAAGAGTGCGCTTTTCGTTGCTAGATAATATCCTGTTAATTTGTGTGTGTGCATTGTTAATGCCGACTACTAAGTTTAGTTTCTCGAGTCGTGTATTTCGTTCTCCAGCACTCGTACAGACCTAAACCTGAAGTGTATCGTTATAAGTTTTCATTTCATTACTTCTTCAAATATCTTATGTTACACATGGACGAAAATTGTTTAAATTTCTTAGCACTAATTGTTTAAAAAACAACAGATATTACAACTCGGCTAGGCCTAAAAAGGCAGATATTAGAACTCACCTAGGCCTTATGTCACTATAAATGGAGAAATGGATGAAAATTGTTTAAATTTTTTAGCACTAATTGTTAAGAAAAACAAAAGATATCACAACTCGGCTAGGCCTAAAAGAGCAGATATTAGAACTCACCTAGGCCTTATGTCACTATAAATGGAGAAATCGGAAAAATGAAGAGTTACATTTTTTTTTTGTCTTCAGGGAAGTAAAGTCCAACCAGAAGACGATGAAGATAATCCTACGAGAAGAGTGGATAAAATCTTTGAACAACTTGACAAGGTACAAAAATAATCAAAGTTGATAATATTTTACGAAATTGATAAATGAATGTTTTTCTTCATTAAACGCACCCTGTATTTGATACCAAGTCACGATATGTAATAAGATACAGAACTTTAACCCTAAACAAGAACTTAACCACAAGGCACGTGCGAGTGGCGTTATGTATTGCTTGTAGCACAGGGCCAAGCTGGCATGGCCTGGTGGTTTAGGGCGCTCGACTCGCTATCTGTGGGTCACGGGTACGAATTCCCGTCCCACCAAATATGCTCGCCCTTTCAGCTTTGGAAGCATTATAACGTGGCGGTCAATCCCACTATTCGTTGGTAAAAGAGTAGTGTAAGAGTTGTAGGTGGGTGGTGATGACTAGCTACCTTCCCTCTAGTGTTACACTGCTAAATTAGGG